CTGCACAGGACAAACTCTTTGAATTCACTGACTAAAAAGTCTCCAATAACCCTGCACAGGACAAACTCTTTGAATTCACTGATTAAAAAGTCTCCAATAACCCTGCACAGGACAAACTCTTTGAATTCACTGACTAAAAAGTCTCCAATAACCCTGCGCAGGAAAAACTCTTTGAATTCACTGACTAAAAAGTCTCCAGCACAACTCCTTCACCAATAAAAAATTGTCTTGATGAGGTTTGTGTTACTTGGTAACCCTGTGCCCCCCAACTTTGCAAACAATCCCATATTGCACTGCTGTTTTACCATCTTTGTAGCTCTGTTATCTATTATGACTTGAGGTAACAAGTCTATTTACAAGTGCTCTCTTAGAAGGCTCTACTCTAGCTTCATGTAATTGTCTTTCCCACTGTTTTCTGTGCAAAGTGTAAAGCTTCATGGCTACCTGTGTATCTTGTACATGGTATAAATACAAATGTAAATAGATTGTGACTTTTTTCCAGATGCTTTTGTTGAAAATTGGCCTAAACTCAAGAAAAACAGCTGTGTTTCTGCTTGTAATCAACCAAGTGTGTAAATTTTCCCCTTAACTTTTGCTGATTGTCCTTAACCTAATAAGGGGCAAAATTAACCTAATCCTTTTACACCCTGACATCAACATTGATATTCTCCACACTGTTGTCTCTATATTTTCTGTGTTGTCATCAAGGAGAATTTGTTTGATAATCAGCAGCTTCCTAATTTGGTGATCATTTGCAGTATTCTTGTGACCTTTGCAGGGTGATGCAGTAAGGAGATATTAGAAACCAGTCCCTGCTCTGCTCCAAGTCTCTTCTTGAGACTACAGAGAGTAAACAACATTAATACTTACAGAAGAATGTTCTCCTTTTTGAATGCTGATATTCAGAACCTGCTTAGCAAGTTTTCTTAATGAAGGGATTCTTGTGTAAAGGTTAATGAATCAAACAAATAGTAAATTACCAGCATTGTGTTGCCAAGTTTTAAAATCTACAAACTATTGCAGAACCACAGCAGCTTTATGATCATTGCTTACAAACAAGAATTCACTGGTACCAGTTTTAACTTTTTAAAACCTCAAAGTTTGAATTGAGTATTTTTGTAAGTGTTCCCTCCTTCCTCTATATCAATCAGATACAAACTTCAAACCAGTCTTGGCTTGATGAACATTTTTCAACACTTGAAGCTGTCTTTGTACTCAGTATCTCAATTAAATTAAATCTCAAATCAGTTTGACTGAAATAGTTTCTGTTTAGTGTTCTCTCTTATTTTATGTACAACAGGTAAACAAAAATTTCAAAGCAGCAGAACAGTTCTTTCACCAGTTGAGGTTACAAGAACTCCAAGTGATTCTGGGCATTTCAAGGAGTACTACATATGCAATATTAACCAAGCCTGAGGTCAAGTTGGCTAGATATTGGCCGAGTTCTTTTTTTGCATTCTTGTTCGGTCAAGGTGGCTAGATAATAGATAAAAGTAACCTTAGACCAAACTCACCTCAAGGTCATTCTTCAAGGAATATCCCACAGGGGTTTTCTCTTTAAGAATTTTTGAACTTCAAGTTGAACTGTCTTGAATTCTGGAGCTAGACATCAAAAAAAAAAAAAATTCTTATAATAAATCTATTGCTATACACAAACCAAGCAGAAAAGTGTTCAAGACCAGTAGATACAGGCCATAAATGTAAACAATTATGTTTTTTTTAGTTTGTTTTATCCAATGAACTACGAATTGTATCCTTGTTAAACATGATTCCTTTTTTGGTAAAAGATGACAGCATGATTATGAGTTTGAAAAAAGACAAGACAAAATTTGAAGAAGAATTAGATATTCAAATACCAACATTTACAATAATGATTACTTTGATGCATTTTTACCGAATAATAATATATTAAATAATAATAAAAAGTTTTTTTGGGAGCACATTTAGAAAACTCAATGCGCTTACTTTACTATATAGAAAAATAGTAATATCTTAGTTGATACCTATAAAATTTTTCTCAAAACAGTAATAAATAAAATAAACAAAATACTTTATTTAGAATTAGCTGATATGAAAGCTAGGTACAGTTCCTCAAAAAAATAAATCAAGAATAAAATTTCTGAAACAAGAATGTTTTGAGGGCAGATTTAAAAGATGAAAGAGATGTAGTGTTTTTAATGAATATCTTTCTTGTCAGCCACTAAATGCAAATATAATTATAATTCATGTAACAAAATCAAGAGCCAGGAAACCCAGTAATATCCTTCGTAAGACTGCAGTATAGAATTCTAAAGAATGTTACCTACACAAATTATTTCAAACAAAGAATATTTAATCTGGTACACATTTATTTAATGAGTAATTAACTCAGCACTAACCATTTTTCAGATTGTCAGGTCCAATTCCACTGACATGAGTGCGATAATCAACCACTTTCTCCTATGGTGTGACAAATGACTCACAGACCACAAGACCATGTCAGTTAACAATAGACAGTCATGCCAACATGTGCCCCTTGGCATCAAACCCAACTCCTGCCATTTCACAGTCCAGTGCAATCCTTTTTGTTATCCTATCACATAATTTCAAAATTAGTGGCTGATGGATGCAACAAATGCATAAAAACATCCACACTAGGTAAACTGTGAGGGCTGATTGTAGAACTAGTGCAATATCTTGTGGCAAGGACTTTTGTATCTCCCTATGTTCTACCTCCATTCAAGAGTTAAACTAAATTAAAGTTGATATACATAAGGATACGGTACACCTTCACAGGTGTCCTTTGCGTTAAAATTCTTCAAGCATTAATTAAAGCATAACTGCCATAAACTTTTTATCAGTGGAAAGGTTGTGAAATGCAATACACAGCAAAAATTATTTTCTTTTAGCCTGATTCAATTGTAAACCAAATGGGGTGAGACAATCCAAAATGGACAATGTTTCTTTCAGCAAATTAATTCCATATCAAATCTGACCACACCAATAAAACTTCTGCCCCATTTCAATACTGAGGGGTTCGGCTTCACAAACTGTGTGGGGATATTTCTATATCCTTATTGGTTGCTTCGCAATCTATCTGTCAAGTTTGTTGATCAAAATTTTACCAATACACATTACATCGGAAGCCAATTCTCAATGTACAGGATCTTTAGTAACAAAGTAATGAAATATCAAGTAGCAAAAATTCATGATGCAACAGAAGATATCAAAAAATACCAATATCGTTTACTGCTTCAGAGACAGTTTGAGGACATGTGTTTCAGTTTAAGAAACATGTGTACAGTGTCATTCTTTCTTTACCCATAAATGTGAAGAGAAAACTGTTAGTATAACTTACTAACCCTTCCAGGCTTCCAGTAACTAGCAAATCATTTGTATCTCCAGTTTCAGTCTTTGTTTTTTCCCAGTAATTTCCTTTAGATCTTCTGGATCCACAGCAACAAACCAAACTCCCTTTGAACTAAAATTCAACTAATAAAGTAGTTATTGTAAACACTGGGATCATCTTGTTTACACACTCTGTAACTGACAGGTAAAACTTTGAGGCTTTTCTTCTAGTTTGTTCCTAAATAATCTTTTCACTCCCAAGATCTCATTAGTAACTCCCCAAACTGTCTGTGGCACAATGTCTTTTCAAGACAACTATTACCCTCAAGATCTCACTAAACAATCAGTTGTTACCATTAGGTCTAACAGCATTGTTCAAGAGAATGTGATCTTAATGTACAGCTTTACACCAAGTTCTCTACACTAAAAATACAACAAATGTGTTATGGAGGAAAGGAGAATTTCAGATTAGATCAGGACATTTGAAAGGGTAAATATTCAACTGTTATCACTGGGTCTAATCAACTTTTTCTATCTACAGAGTGTTACCTTGATGTAACACCAAATTCTCTGAGCCAATAATATCTGAAAATATGCTTAAAAAGGAAAGGAGAATTTTCAATCAGATTGAAGAGGTTGAAAGGGTTAACAACAATCAATGTTTCCAAATATTTCCTTCCACATCTTTGTTTTTGGTAAATATTATAGGTGGTATTTATATGAGAAGTTCTTACCTTGCCATGCTATCTAACCTAGTATTTGACCTCAGAGTTCTCTAATATGTCTTCTTGTGTCCTTGCTTTACATCTCCTGCGGTTTCCTTGGTGTTTTTCTCTTTCTTAAGCACCTAAAACATAGCACATCACATGAGATAGACTTCATTTGGCCTATTGATGATCACCTTAATTCACATGCTATTTGGCATTTAAAACTGTACCTTACTTGAACTGAAATACAGTAAAACCTCAATTTAATGAAGCTCTATAAAACAAACCTCAAAATTATTAAATCCGTGTTATAATAAACATAATCCAGAAGCTTACACGCATAATATACTCCAATATAACAAACAAGTGTCAACACATGACTTAAGACAAATGCAAAACAGACTAAAAATTCTCAAGGCAATTAGAAAAATTTTTTGATTTTCAAAGTAGATTAATGAGGCAATTTTCATTGAGCATCTTGATTAGCAAATTTAGAAATGAGGTGAATTAGATTTCTTATGTTAAAGTTTTCTGTTTGGTTGGACTTTCCATTATCCTTTTTATTATCACATTTGACAAGCCAGTGACAATTTTTTAAAAAATTTCATTTACCATATGGGGCTCGGATTTTACTATTACACTAAAATTGTTTCATCTTTACATGCTCACTTTGGAGGTTGGTTGGCTGCATCTTGATATGCTTTAATGTGACAGCATGATGTTGTTAGTGAGTTTCACAGGCGCTCACCAATACTTGGCTGTGTAGCCGCACGATGTGATTCCAGTCGAGGCCCACAAATTGACCCTTGTTCACCATAGAGTCTCCAGTAGCTCAGTGGTTACAGCATCCGACTAGATCACGGAGGGTCGTGGGTTCAAGTCCCATCTGGGGCTCGGATTTTTCTATTACACTAAAATTGTTTCATCTTTACATTTACCATTTAATTTTTTTAGGTGTTGTAGCTAGGTAGAAATCTGTGCAGTGTACTGTAGCTTCATAAAAACATTAAAGCACAAATGCTATTAAGAGCAGGGCTCAAAATTAATGGTAACCCATTAACCAATGGTTAGTAATTTTCAACCTTTGGTTACTAAAAATGTGTTTAACTAACCCGACATGGTTAGTAAAATTTTCTAACATATTTAAACATTGGTAGACCTCAAGACAAAGAGCACATAGACCTGCCTCTCAGAGAAATACTTAGAATACTCAAGTTGTTTAATCAACTTAAACTCTTTTTAGAGAATGTGCTGTAGATG